TCTGCAGCAGTCCTGGCAAGAGATGACGCAGCTTGGACTTGGGCTGTAGTGGTCAGCGGGTTACAAGTGGCTGGATCCTGGATCTATCTCAAAATCAGAGCCAGTGGATGTGCAAACAGATTGTGGGTAATGGGTGGGAAAAAAGATAGGAGTCAAGAGAGAGATGGATTACACCATTTCCAAGAAAACAAAAGGATAATTTTAGGGTTAGTTTTGCTGAAAGATGGCCAAAAAATAGTTCATTCTTAGCACTAAGTTTTCAACGTCCTGGCCAAAAAAAAATTAAATGCCAGTAAGCTCTTTAGAAATTATTTAACTGTCATATAAATGTACTGATTTGGGGAAATATTATGAGATGCATAACAGCAACTCAAATTCTATTTTCTTTAGTTAAAGCTTTATAACTAGGCACAGCTGCAGACTGCCCAGGCATAATTATAGTTCCACCTGGCAGCCAGGCCTCTTGGTTTGAAGCATAGCATTTCATTAATAAAATGAAAGAATGTGTGAAATTGTATTTTTAAACAGTTGAAATGGAAGGAGACTTGTAGGTGGCAGGCTTTCTTGGCTAGGCCACAACCTGGTATGTTGAAATGTCGCGTGAACATCGCCTGTCACACATCCCAGCTTAGCACAAGTGAGGCTGGCCCTACCATGGAGTGTTCAGGTAATACACTGGGCCTTCTTAATACAGACACTTTTGTAATTTCACAGCATTCCAGGGAGGAAAAGGCACAACCCCCAGGCTTCCTTATTGCACTCACCTTCTGCAAATATCTTTGTTTTCTTGAGACTACCAGACTACCAAGGAGCAGTATTGAAAGAAAATTTGTGCAACTGATAATAATTATATTGACCGCTGTCCAATAATTTCTTATTTATTCACTCAACTATTTGCATTTCACTATATTATTAAATTATTGCATAACTAACTAGCACCACAACTCCCAAAATGTGACATTTTCAACTCCTCCTGGAGCTACCAACAAAATCCAAGTACTTTTTTACAAAAGCAAAAATCTGTTTGCTCTCTGTGGTGTCTAATCCTTAATAAAGAGAAGAAAATTTAATCTTATATTGTTTCAAATTATCCATCTTACAGACAAGAATAATTAGATTATCTATCTATACCCTAATGTTATATACTAAACAGCAACCCTTCAAAAGAGTGAACTAAAATGTTTTTAGAAATGAAAGAATTGACAAACCACTATAATAGCAGTTGTTTTTAACACAGCTCTTAAAAACCTACAGATAAGTAAACAAAAATAAGTAATGTTTATGAATAAGAATTGATTTAATAACTCTATAGAATTCTTTTCAAATGCTCATAAAACTGTTTAAAATTAATCCAATGGTAAGTCATAAAGAAAATCATACAGTTACATTCTCTGGCTATAGGAAAATAAGTTAACAACAAAAGCAAAGCCAAAAACTAACCACTTAGAAATTTCAAAACACTCATGAATAACTCAACATCTAAGAATAAAATTATAGACTATTTAGAAATTAATAATGGTTCCCACTAAGAAGAACCAGAACTTCCTAGAGAAATGACAGACTCCAGATCTGGAGCAGGAATTGTACAAGATACACCTGGGACATCTTGTTGCACTAGAAAACAAGCTATCAAAGACTACAAGGGTCACATGAAAAGGACCTAGAATCAATGCAAAGGGCCTCCCACTGGCCAAAGATGGGACAGACAATGTGAACATGGAAAAAAAATAATGGCTACAATGGATTGAAACATATCATATGTATTAAAATCTATGCACTTGTAATAGTACTTTAAAAGTGGTCACTTACAGAGGTTTCTAGACCATCAACCCATTCTGAAAAATAGTTAAGTAAAAGATTCAAAAATTTATCCTTCCATTCTCTATTAAATCTATTTCAGAGTAAACATTTAGTTGATATACAGAAATAATAGAATTGAAACTCAACACTTTGCAACCCCTAATGAAATAATATATCTGGGCAATGATTATGGATGGCTACTAAAACCAGTAGGTAAGACTGATGAGGAACCTTACAATGATGGATCAGGCTGAAAACACTTGAGCCCACCGATCAATCTTAATATCACAAGAAGAGAAACAATCAGACATTATGAGTCTCTTGATATGATGTAATGGGAAGCCCACAGCAACACCTGTGAGAGATTCTTGCCAAAAATATTAAACTCAAACCTGAATCTGATCAAGCCATTAGTTGTAACCACCAGTAAACAGGAAACACAGGGGTAGATGTCATGTTAAACAACACCACAGGGATACAATCAGCCAAATTTTACAGAACAAATGCCCATTTCTTTACCAAGAAAAAGTAAAAACAGAGAATGAGAAGGAGGAACAACTGACACAAAATGAAAGAGACATATCAACCAAATGCCATGTGAGGGCCTTATTTGGCTGCTGATTCAAGCAAACTAAGTGTAAAAAGATATTCATGAAATAAGTGAGGGAAATTTCAACACTGACTAGCTATGAAATGATATAAAAAATTTTTGTTACGTTTTCATTTGGAGATAATGATGTTTATTTAAAGGTCCAAATCTGTTACAGATGCAAATAGAAGTACTTACAGATAAAATAATATGTCTGGTTTTACTGTAAAATAATCCAGAAGGTTGGGGGAGTATGGTATGGATAACCAAAATTGGCCATATTTGTTGAAACTGGTGGTATAAAACTAAGACTTCATTATTCTAGTCTCTCTACTTTTGTGCATGACTAAAATTTTTCAGAATAAAAAGCTTTTTTAAAAAATGAATGACAATGAGAACACTACACATCAAAATGTATGAGATGAGGAGTGGCCTCAGCACCACTGAAGAATAAAACATTCCTTGTTACCCCCCCTCCCCGAACAATAATTCAGCTTCCATCCATGGACAAAAGTGCTTTATGGGAGCTATGGAATCCAGCACCATTAGCCAAGGGATGCAGGAGGAGTCTCACCCACCCACACATCAGGTAATAGGCGTACAGACCTCCATCCTGGCTATGGACCCTGCAGTGGCCTATGAACCAGCTCTAACCCCTCTTGACCACGGTCTGGGAGCCTCTGGAAAACACTGTCTTAGACAATCACCTACAGACAAGAGAGCCTTGGTAGAAGTCCAGATTTCTAGAATAGAAGTTCCAGTACACTACTGGAACAAAAAATACTAGTTTGGATACATTGGAGAAGGTAAGAAGAACAGTTTGACTTTACCTGCACCACCCTTCCCCTAAGGTGGCACAGTTTAGGGCCAAAAGAGAGCTTTTCTGCCCATGGTTTCTCTTGCTGGGGAAAGGGAGAGTGTGTGAGCACCCAGCTTCCCCAGCTGTATGGGCAACTGCCAAAGAGGCTTATTTCTCTCTTGCTCCATCCAGGGTGCTAAATTGTGAGCTGCATGACTAGGAGGCAGGAAGAGTCTGGGAAAGCATAGCACATAGGACTTTCAGAGGGCATTAAAGGGACATGGATCCTATTAACTGCATCATGGACTGCATCAAGAAGCCTGCCCATGATCCACTGGGAACACCTCACTCATAGAGCCCCCCAACTGGTCCACGGACACTGCCAGTGCTCAGCACACCCCATCCACACACACCCTGACCCTGTGGCCAGCTCCCTATGTGCACTCCCAACTGCGGTGATGAGAGTGAGCTTTGGCAGAGGGTTAGTGAGCACACACAGAAAGCTGGCCCAAATCAGGGAGAAACCACAAATTTGAGTTTTTGTGCCACCTTTTGGAAAACAAAAGGAAGGCTGTCAGCACCTGGCCTAGTACATTGCCGGATCAAGAGAATACATACAAGCTTAGGAATTCTGCCAAGAAGGAGCAAAAAGTGTGGAGCAAGTATATCCATAGAAGGTCTGAAGACCTCAGAATCACTAGCAGAGCTGACAGAAGGTATGTCTCCCCTGAAGGCATTCAGTAAAACTGGAGGAGGTGACTGCTACTTCAAATGTGAAGACAGCAACACAACACTTCAAAGAACATGAAAAATCAGGGAAACATAACATCACTAAATGATCACAACAATCTTCTAGTAGTCGATCCCAAATTCACAAAGATCTGTGATTTACCCAATAAAGAATTCAAAATAGCTATTTTAAGGAAACTCATTGAGCTACAAGAAAACACAGAAAGACAATTCAATGAAAAGGGAAACAATACATGAACAAAATGAGAATTTTAACAAAGAGACAAATATTTTTAAAAAGAACCAAACAGAAATCCTGGAGCTGAAGAATAAGACAAATGAAATGAAAAATACAATAGAGAGCATAAACAGAATGAATCAAGCAGAAGAAAGAATCTGTGAGACAGAACACAAGAACATTGAAATTATCTAGTCAGAGGAGAACAAAGAAAAAAGAAACAAAGAAAAAAGAATGAAAAAGAGTGAAGGAAGTGTACATGATCTATGGGATACAATCTAAACAACCAGTGTGTGAATTATTGGAGTTCAAGAAGGAGAAGAGAGGGAGAAGGGGGCAGGAAGCTTATTTAAAGGAATAATGGCTAAGAGCTTCCCAAATCTGGGGAAAAATCTGGATAACGATGTTCATGAAGCTCATTGGACACCAAACAAAATCAACTTAAAGAGATCTTCTCTAAGACACATTAAATAAAAATTTCAAAAATTGAAGATAAAGAGAGAAACTTAAAAGCAGCAAGAGAAAAGAAACTTGTAACTTACAGGGGAACCCCCATAAGACTATCAGAGGATTTCATAGCAAAATCTTACAGGCTAGGAAAGAATAGGATGAAATATTCAAAGTGCTGAAAGAAAAACACTGCCAATCAAGAATACTCTATCCAGCAAAGTTATCCTTCAGAAATGAAGGAGAAATAAAGACTTTCCCAAACAAACAAAAGCCCCAAGGGAATTCATAATGATTAGACTTGCCTTATAAAAAAATGCTGAAAGGAGTTCTTCAAGCTGAAGTGAAAAGACACTAATTAGTGTCATGAAAATATAGAACACACTGGTAAAGGTAAGTATACAGTCAAACTCAGAATACTCTAAAACTGTAATATGGTGCTATGTTAACCACTTAACTCTAGTATAAAGGTTAAAGGACAGGAGTATTAAAAATAACTACAGCTACAATAATTCGTTAATGAATACACAATATAAAAAGAGGTAAATTGTGACATCAAAAACATAAAAGAGGGGAGTAAAAAGGTAGTTTTCGTATGCAATCAAAGTCAGTTGTTATCAGCATAAAATAGATTGTTATATCTATAAGATGTTTTATGTAAGCCTCATGGTAACCACAAAGCAAAAACCTACAGCAGATTCACAAAAGATAAACAGAAGAGAATGAAAGAGAAAATCATCAATTCACAAAGGAAGGCAGCAAGAGATGAAGAAAGGAAAAAGAGAACTACAAAACAGCCAGAAAACAATTAATAAGATGGCATTATTAAGTCCTTATCTATCAATAATTACTCTAAATGTACATGGATTAAATTCTCCAATCAAATGGCATAGAGTGGCTGGATGGATTAAAAAACAAGACCCAACTATATGCTGCCTACAAGAAACCCACTTCAGTTTGAAGGATCCACATAGGATTAAAGTGAAGGGACAGAAAAAGATATTCCATGCAAGTGGAAACCAAAAGAAAGAAAAGGTAGCTATACTTATATAAGACAAAATAGATTTTAAGCCAAAAATAATAACAAGAGACAAAGAAGGTCATTATATAATGATTAAGGAGTCAATTCATCAAGAAGATATAACAATTATAAACATATATGCACCCAACCGGAGTACCTAAATATATTAAGCAAATACTAACGGATTTAGAGGGAGAAATAGATACTACAGTTATAGTAAGAAACTTCAATACCCTACTTTCAATAATGGATAGAAAGAAAATCAACAAGGAAAGGTTGAACTTGAACTGTATTTTAGACCAAATGGAACTGAAAATAATATACAGAACATGTCATCCAACAGCAGCAGAAAACACATTCCTCTTAAGTGCACACAGTACACTCTCCAGGATAGATCATATGTTAAGCCACAAACTAGTCTTAGCAAACTTAAGAAGATTAATATCACACCAAGTATCTTTTCTGACCACAATGGTATGAACCTAGAAATGAATAACAGAAGTAAAGCTGGAAAATTCACAACTATGTAGAGACTAAACAACACACTCTTGAACGACCAATGGATAAAAGAATAAATCAAAAGGGTAACAAAATGGAAATGGAAAAACAATATATCAAAACCTATGGGATACAGCAAAAGCAGTTCTAAGAGTGAAGTTTATAGCAATAAATGCCTACATTAAGAAAAGAGAAAGATCTCAAATAACCTAACTTTATACCTCAAGGAACTAGAAAAAGAACTAAGCCCAAAGTTAGCAGAAAGAAGGAAATAACAAACATCAGAACAGAAACAAATGAAATAGAGTCCAGAAAAACAAAAGATCAATGAAATTAAGAGCTGGATTTTTGAAAAGATAAAATTGACAGGATTCAGGTTCAAGATGGCGACATAGGAGGCTCCTAAACTCACCTCCCCCCACAGACACACCAAATCTACAGTTACACATGGAACAATTCCCTCTGAAAGAACAGAAACTAGCTGAGTGACACCTAAACATCAGGCAAATGAGAGAAAAACCCACACTGAAACAGGTAGGAGAGGCCAAGACACAATCTCGCCAAACCTCCCCGTCCCCCACCCCCAGTATGGCAACATACAATCAGGAGGGAATTCACAACTCCCAACTTCTCCTTGAGGAGAAAAGGGTTTGGCCCCCATATCTGGTACCCTAACTTTTAAGACTTCCACCTGAGTGATGGACCCCCAAAACATCTAGCTTTGAAAGCCAACAGGGTTTGCATCCACGAGACCCATAAAACTGTAACAAACTAAAAGACAATTCTTAAACGGCTCACACAGACTCACCATGGCTAACCTCCCAGAGCCCAGGGCAGAGGCAGCATACAGAAACACCCAATCTTTCCACGGACAAGGCCTATTTGCTTATCTTAAAGCTTTGGCCTGAGGGGAAGGCTTCTAATTTAAAACACATCTAGGGGTCAACTGCAGTACTCTTCAGAGGCCATGGAAACAATCTCTGGTAACTATTTGTAAGAAAAAAGCCCAAATAAACACTTTAGAATTGAGAAAGAAGCCATACTCACAAATATCAAAGAAATTTTAATCATAAAATAACATTAAGTTCCAATAAACCAAAAATCTTTATGAAATGGATGATTTCTAATAAAAATGACCCAAATTAACTCAAGAAAATACCTAAAACATAAACATACTAATAACCACAAAATAAATAGAAATGGTAGTTTAAGATCTAACCCAAAAAAGGCATCAGCCCAGATGGTTTTATTCATTAATTTATTGTTTCTTTTGTTCATTCAAAAATACCAGTCAAACACCAAATATACTAGGCACTATTCTTAATGATGGGGGTTCAGCAATAAACCAAACAGAAAAAAATCCATGCCCTCATGGAGTTTACATTCTAGTGGTGACGGGGAGAAAGGGGGAAATACAGACAATAATAGAACAGATAAGTAAAATATATCATATGTTAGGTGCTATGTAGGCTGAATAATGCCTTCTCCCCTACCCCAAAGATGCCAAAGTCCTAATAATCAGAACATATGAATATGTTACTTTACATGACACAAGGGACTTTGCATATGTGATTAAGAATCTTCAACTGGAAGTCTATCACGGATCACCTAGGTGGACCCAATGTAATCACAGAGGTCCATAGAAGAGGAGGTGGGAGGGTCAGAGTCAGAGAGATTTGAATACACTACAGTACTCAGTTTGAAGATGGAGGAAGGGGCCAAGAGCCAAAGAATGCACGTGGCCCCTAGAAGTTGGAAAAGGCAATGAAATATATTCTCCCTGAGAGCCTCCAGAAGGAACCAGCTCTGGTGACACCTTGATATTAGGACTTCCCATCTCCAGAACTATAAGAGAATACATTTGTATTGTTTAAGTCACTAAATGTGTGCTAATTTGTTATAGCAGCCATGGGAAACTAATACAGATGGAAAAAATAAAGCTATTCAGGGCAAGGGCCTGCCAGAGGGTGCAATTGCCAAAAATTAGTTAGGATGAGTCTCGATTCTAACAAGCCGTGTTACCTAAACGGTTACAGGACATAGCAAAAAAAGAAAGTTGGTATGACACATTACTTGATGAACAAAGTTCAAAGACAAATAACAGACAGGAAATTAGAAAAAATGATATACAGATGGAAAATAAACATGAAAATTTATGCAATTCCATTATCAGTGAAAGAAATGAAAATTAAAACAATGAAATGACATTTTTGTTTAACAGATTGGCAAAAATTAAAACTATTAACATCGAGCACAGGTGAGTGTGTGTAGAAAGGTCAGTCTCTTACATGCTTGAAAGAATTTTAAACTTGTACAATCTTTTTGAAGGGAAATTTGGTGATTTCTATGAAGTTTTCAAATACGCATATCTTTTGCCCAGTAATACATTTCTAAGAATTATCCTAGAAAAATGTTTACACTGGAAATCAAAGAAGAATGAAATAAATGGAAAGATATTCCATGTTCATGGATAGGAAGACACAATATTGTCAACATGTCAGTTCTTCCCAACTTGATCTATAGATTCAATGCAATCACAATCAAAATCACCGCAAGTTATTTTATGGATACTGACAAAATGATTCTAAAGTTTATATGGAGAGGCAAAAGACCAGAACAGACAACATAATATTGAAAGAGACTAACAAAGTTGAAGGATTGATGTTACCCAACTTCAAGACTTACTATAAAGTTATAGTAATCAAGACATTTTAGTACCGGCAAAAGAACAGAAAAATAGATCAATGGGAAAGATTAGAGAACCCAGAAATAGACCCCCATAAATATAGTCAATTGATCTTTGAGAAGGGAGGAAAAGCAACACAATGGAGCAAAGATAGTCTCTTCAACAAATGGTGCTGGAACAACTGGACATCCACACACAAAAAAATGAATATAGACACAAACCTTACACTCTTTCCAAAAATTAATTCAAAATGGATCATAGACCTAAATGTAAAATGCAAAACTATAAAACTCTTAGAAAATAACATAGGAGAAAACCTAAATGACCTCGGGTATGGTGATGGCTTTTTAGATACAACACCAAAGATACAATCTATGAAGGAAATAATAGATAGGCTAGACTTCATTAAAATTACAAACTTCTGCTCTGTGAAAGACAATATCAAGAGAAATGGAAAACAAGCCACTGACTGGGAGAAAATATTTGCAAAATACACATTTGATAAAGTACTATTATCCAAATGTATTTCGGATATTCTTAAAAACTCAACCATAAGAAAATTAACACTCTGATTAAAAAATGGGCCAAACACCTTAACAGACACTTCACCAAAGAAAATATACAGACAGCAAATAGCATATGAAAAGACACTCCACATCATATCTCATCAGGGAAATGCAAATTAAAATAACAATGAGACCAATACACATCTCTTCAAGTGGCCAAAATCCAGAACACTAACAACACCAAATGCTGGCAAGGATGTGAAGTAATAGGAACTCTCATACATTGCTGGTGGGAATGCAAAATGGTACAGCCACTTTGGAACAGTTTGGTGGTTTCTTACAAAACCAAATGTACTTTACCATACAATCCAGAAACTGTGCTCCTTGGTATTTACCCAAAGGAGTTGAAAACTTATATCCACACAAAAACATGTATATGGATATTTATAGCAGCTTTATTCATAATTGCCAAATCTTGGAAAAAACCACGATGTCCTTCAGTAAGTGAATGGATAAGTAAACTGTGGTACATCCAGACAATGGAATATTATTCAGTGCTTTTATGAAAAAAAAAAAAAAGCACTGTCAAGCCATGAAAAGACATGGAGGAATCTCAAGTGCATATTACTAAGTGAAAGAAACCAATCTGAAAAGTCTACATACCGTATGATTTCAATTATATGACATTCTGGAAAAGGCAAAACTATAGAGACAATAAAAAGGTCAGCAGTTACCTGGAGTGGGGGGTGGGGAAAGAGATGATTAGGCAGAGCACAGAGGATTTTTAGGGTAGTGAAAATGCTCTGTATAATATTATAGTGATGGATATATGTCATTATTATTTTGCCCAAACCCATATAATGTATAACACCAAGAGTGAATCCTAAGGTAAACTGTGGATTTTGGGTGATTATGATGTGTCAATGTAGGTTCATCCTTGGTAAAAAAAAAAAAAAGTACCATTTTGGTGAGTAATGTTGATGATAGGGGAGGTTATGCATGTGTGGGGACAGGGGATATATATGAAATCTCTGTACTTTCCTCTCAATTTTGTTGTAAACATAAAACTAAAAAAATTAAATCTTTAAAAAAATGTTTACACTAATGTCAAAAATGTGTGTGGCATTCACTGTAAAAATAATAAATACAATTTAAATTTTAACTCATGGGGAATTGTTAGTAAATTGTGATACATTCATACAAAGGAGTAATACTACACAACAATTAACAAGCATTTAATTTAGATCTATTGTACTAACTTAGGTCTATTTATACTAACATGGAATGATATTTACAGCACATTACTAAGCGAAAAACTTAAGTTGTATAATTACACATACACTATGGTAGGCAGCCTCTCAGCCCCCAGTGATCACTATGTTCACATCCTTGTGTGATCCTCTCGAGTGTGGGCTGGACTTATTGATTCACTTCTAATAAATAGAATACGACAAAAGTGATGGGATATCACTTCTGAGATTAAGCTACAAAGAGACAGTGGCTTCCTCTTGCTTACTGTAATGAAAGCCAGCTGCCATGTTGTGAACTGCCCTATGGAGAGGCCCACGTGGCAAAGAACTGAAGGAGGTCTCCAGCCAACAGGTAACTAAGGTATTAGTCCAACAGCCTCACAAATAACTGAAACCTGCCTACAACCACATGAGTGAGCTTCAAGCAAGATCCTTCCCCAATTGAGCCTCCACAGGAAACCACAGTCCCAGCCAACACCTTAATTGCAGCCTCATGAGAGACCTAGGAGCAGAGGATTCACTAAGCCACACCCAGATTCCTGACACAAAAAACTGTGAGATAAAAAAGCAGATTATAAATTCCATTACCATCAACTCTAGTAACCCAAAACCTCAAATGATCAGGATGACTTCTTCTACATTCTAAACAACTTCAGTCTTCTCATCTCAGAAAATAGCATCATCATAGCCCAGAAACCTGAGGTCATATATCTCACCTTTCTTTCCTTCACCAACCATATACACTCATGGGAAAGTCCAGTCAACAGCATATATCTTAAATCTGACCACTTTTCTTTCTTTTTATTGCTACTGCCTCAATCCAAGCCACTTTCATTGCTCTCCTAAACCACTGCAATAGTTCTTTTCCTGGTCTCGCTGCTCTCGCATTTGCTCACCTATAAATCATTCCCCACACAGGCCAGTATGATTTTTTTTTTTCTTTTTGTTTTGAAATAATTTCAGACTTACAGAAAAGTTGCAAGAATAGTATAAGAACAGAACGAAGAATCTCTGTGTAC